CAAGGTTTGCTATTGGTTCATAATTTAATACTCGCCCAAATATTGGGATGATGTCACCTTGATGCGAGTATGAGTACATATCACATGTTCAAGAAGGACGAGGATGTTATACCACAGCTTCATCAAGTGATTATTATTATTTTGTTTAATGTGCGACTTAAGTGATTAATATTTACTAATAATTTAATTTCTCACATTCCGTGGATGAAGAACCTCATAATAAAAGAAGTCTCAATAATCATGTTTAATTTGACATTCAGATTAAAACAAAACGATGGTTAATGAGGTGTATGACGAAGCGCCCGATCGATAAAGCCCAAAAACTGAAGTGGGAAATGAGCTAAGTCAATGACTCAACCATGAATCCTCCTCTGCTAGCACTCCTCATCCTCCTTCCATTACCATGTTGCCGCTGCATATTCGCGCAGCCGTCGGAATTCCGCCTCCTGTCCTGCTACGACGGCGCCGGGAACTACACCGCCGGCAGCACTTACCGGCGCAACCTTGACACCCTCTTGTCCTCGCTCGCCGCCGACTACCAAACCACCACGGGCTTCTACAACCTCTCCGTGGGCCTAGGCCCGGACCGGGTCAACGCCATGGGCCTATGCCGGGCCGACATCTCGCTCCAGGCCTGCCGCGACTGCATCTCCGAGGCGACGACTCGGCTCGTATTCGACTGCCCGGTCCAGAAGACGGCGTTCGGCCACTACGGCAACACCTGCCAGCTCCGCTACTCGAACCGGTCCATCTACGGTTCGCTCGAGCCGGACCCGCCAAGCCTCTACTTGGGGAACTTCAACAACGCGTCCGACCCGGTTCGGTTCGGCGACGCCTTGCGCGCCTTGCTGGTCCGCCTCCGGGGCTCCGCGGCGGAAGGAAGTTCGGTGAGGAAATTCGCGACGGGAGCGGCGCGGCAAGGCTCGCTCACCATCTACGGCCTCGTGCAGTGCTCTCCGGATCTCTCGCGGCAGCTCTGCGATGAATGTATCGCCGCGGCCGCTCGCCAGATCGACGGGAGGAGAATCGGAGGACAGATCTGGCAACCTTGTTGCCGGGTCGGGTATGAGACTCATCCATTTTACTCCGACGCGGAATCGCCGCAGCCCGCCGCTCCGGGAACTGGTAAGCAGCTCTGTGAATAAATTCAAAACTAGTGGTATTACTACGGGACAACAAATGTTTCATGAGAAATTTTACAATACTATATAGTATTGGTGCTATAAGTTTTTGTATTTATGGTACAACTCGAAATTGTACCTTTAACGTTAAATGTACAATTTCAACTTGTACCTATACGTTTTGTACAAATTTTTTTATGGTACAACTTAAATTTGTACATTTATGTGATGGTACAACTTCAAGTTGTAAAGTTGTACCATAACATAATAATACAAATTTTTTTATAGTACAACTTAAATTTATACATTTAATGTTATGGTACAATTTCAAATTGTACATTAAAGCACCAATACTCATGTTTCATTTATTATTATTAGGCGGAAGAAGTAAGAATACGACAAAGATCGCAGCTGTTGTGATTCCGATCGCCGGCGCCGCAGTGCTCGGCTTCATTTTCATCCTCTTCTTCTGCCGGAGATCATTGAAGAGGTCGAGAATCCCCATCCAGAGTCAACGAGACGCCAGTAAGCAAATTGTATTCATTCCCATTATACTATCTAGAAATTATTGCTTGCGTACACCCGTCGTTCTCAAATTACGTGGTACTTCAACCTAAGCCAACATAAAACTGACACGCTCACATATCTTTATTCCGCTGCGCTAAGTGTTTCAACTATTTTATGCTTCCTTCATCTTTGAGTTCGTGAGAAAGAAATACAATCAATAAATAGAGTCGGAGAGAGAAAGAAAAATTAATCAATCATTTCCTAGAGAGTGATGGGTTTACTAGATGCTCATTAATGAATTCTAGCAGCAGCCGATGAGATCGGCAACGAGGGATGCTTGCAATTCGATTTCGAAACGATCAGAGTCGCCACGAACGATTTCTCCCAGAAAAGCAAGCTCGGAGAAGGTGGATTCGGCGTCGTTTACAAGGTTCGACGACGAGCGTAATTCCAATAATGTTTCGTCTCTCCTAAAATTCACGTAGCTAGTTTGAAATTCCGCTAATTCGTTTTTTGCAGGGAACGTTGTCAAATGGACAAGAAGTAGCGGTGAAAAGGCTAAAAAAAGATTCAGCACAAGGACATAGAGAATTTAAAAATGAAGTCAAATTGGTGGCCAAACTTGAGCATCGAAATCTAGTTAAACTTCTAGGCTTTTGCTTAAAAGGAGGAGAGATGCTTCTCATCTACGAGTTCATCCCTAATGCCAGCCTCGACCATTTCCTCTTTGGTATATGTATAGGATAAAATAGTTCTCATTATTTTTGTTTTGAATTTGATATGGGACTGTATTTATCTGATTTCGATACTTTATTCATACAGATGTGGATAAAAAGAAGGATTTGAGTTGGGAGAGACGATACAAGATTATTATAGGTGTCACGCGAGGGATGACTTATCTTCATGAGGAATCTCGATTGAGGATCATCCATCGTGATCTAAAAGCCAGCAACATTTTGTTAGATGCCGAGATGGTTCCCAAGATTTCGGATTTTGGGATGGCTAGATTGTTTGATACTGATGAGACTCGGGCAATTACTAACAGAATCGTTGGGACTTAGTGAGTATGACGTAAGAGAGTACTTACAAAAAGAACTTATAAGCCCCCTGATCATTGTGAGTGATGAAATTTGTGGTGTGGGGTTTCTATTTTGTGCAGCGGATATATGGCTCCAGAATATGCAATGCACGGGCAGTTTTCAGTGAAGTCTGACGTGTTCAGTTTTGGGGTGTTCGTTTTAGAGATTGTGAGCAGCAAGAAGAATAAACATATCCATGGCAACTCGAGCATGAAAGACCTATTAAGCTATGTGAGTGTCCATATCAAATGTTACATTGTTTTGTTGCTCATAGCCTCATAGTCATTGGATTAAGAGATGCCCAACTAGTTAGTTATTTATGGGATTTGCCACAAACGATGGTAACTAAACTAAAAATGTTAACAAACTTATCTATCCACCTACCCGACATCAACTTGTTTCAAGTTTGAAGAAGTTTAAAGAACAATTATAAAACAAGTATTCCTAACTATACTAATCAATAAATAATTATAACCTAATCTATATCTAACAAAGTTGGATTTTGGATGTGTACTTGCTTGGGTGTTGGGTTGAGTGAAGAATTTTACAATGTTTTAAAGCATTGGTGTTTTAGTTTTTTTGCATTAAGGTACAATTTGAAGTTGTAGATCATTAACTTTATGGTACAACTTGAGATTTTACATATACTTTTTTTGTACCAATTTCTTTATTTTTACAATTTGAAATTATACTTTATGTGATGGTACAACTTGATGTTGTGCCATAACATGCATAAAATTAAGTACAAATTCTCTTATAGTTCAACCTCCACTTCTACCTTTAACGTTATATGGTACGACTTCAATTTGTACTTGCTTTAGCTCCTTCATTAGTATTTCACTAGAAATTATGTCAGTCATCGATCTGCTATCAAAACGACAACTTCAATTTTGGTCTTTGACACATATATAGGCATGGAGGAACTGGAGGAACGGAACTTACACCAACCTCGTAGACCCGTCTCTCGGGAACAACTTTTCCGGCGCCGAGGTGGCGAGATGCATCCACATTGGGCTGTTGTGTGTGCAGGAGAACGTCAACGACAGGCCGACCATGGCCGCCGTCGCTCTGATGCTGACGAGGCAGTCCATCGCTTTGCCGTTGCCTTCCAAGCCGGCCTTCTTCGTCCACACTGGCACCGGAGATCAGGGTTCTTCTTCTTCTTCGCGAGATTGTTACCGCAGAAGCACTTCGAGGGGTGGAATTACTGATCATAATGGTGGATCTTCTCCTCCTGCTGAAGCTCTTCCACTTTCGAGAAATGAGGTTTCTGTGTCCGAGCTCTATCCTCGTTGAAACGCTGTATTTATCTACTACCAATCCAATACTAATACTGATCAATGTTCAAAATTTTGTCTTAAAATACGTATAATGATAATATTAATCAACTATTGAATTGGGTTGGTATCATAGATTTCCCCAAACGTATGTCACAAATGACAAATGTGATTGACAAGGTTGTCAAACCGCGAGTCGACACGTCAGTTGACCTATTTTGATCCTGATCTTGTGAGAAAAACGAGTTACACTCATATACGGGTCGACCCATTACATGATTACTGGATTGGGCGTCGTTTTCCCTTAGCTTTGCGAAACACAAAAAAAAAAGAACAAAAATGGAATAGAGTGAGCCCCTATTTGCAAAAGACCCGCTTCTTTCCACCTCCTATAGTGCGTGGTCTTACCATTCTACCCCATTTTTGCCACATGGTGCCCTAAGGTTGTGGACATGGGTTCAAATGGTTGTATATTATAGTGAAACCGGTTGTTTGACCACTTCATTGAAGTGATTATAGAAAATATAACAGATAAATATAATTAATTTATGAGTAATTAGAAAATGACCAAACATTTGCATCCTATTTCCTTTGGTGTCCTCGTAATCACATGAGAGACCATTCACAACTTCACAACTTATTTTGAAAGAACATAGCTTTTATTGTTCTTCCAACTAAACCCAAATTGGAACCAAAATAAATTAGCCATCAACACACCTCCCATCATTTTAATCAATTAGCCACATGATCAAATACCCAACAAAAGAAAGAAAACTAAACATAGAAAGTGTAGTTAATGGAAATCAATTAAATAAAAATCATAAGCTAATTCAAACAAAATTCACAAAAATATGGACACAAATTAAACAAACTTTCCCTCCCATCCCTTCAAACAAATTGACATCGGCGGCTAAAAAAATCCAAAATCCCTCCATTAACCAGACCAAAAAAGAAAAAAATGCTTAATTTCAGTAGATGAAGAAGCTTCTCCCAATGGCGGCCTAGTGGTTGTCACAATGGAGGGCTCATCGTCTCTACTGTCACTATTACTACCACTACTGCTACTGCTACTTCTTCCACTCCCCTCAAATACCCAGTTCCTAGATCTCCTCCACCCACTCTGTTTCCAAACCGCCGGGACCTACACCGCCGGCAGCACATTCCGGCGGAACCTCGACTCCGCCCTCTCCTCAATCGTCTCGGACACCGAAATCGACAACGGGTTCTACAAGGTCTCCGCCGGGTTCGGCCCAGATCGGATCGTGGCAATCGGGCTCTGCCTCGGAGACCTCGACCCGCCGAATTGCCGATCCTGCATCAGCCGCTCCGCGAGCAGGATCGTGCAATCCTGCCCGAATCAGAAGGAAGCAATCTTGTACTACGATTTCTGTATGCTGCGCTACTCCAGCCCATCACTTCGCAGCAACTCCGACCGCCCAGAATCCGCTCCGATTCCGCCGCCGGCCGGAGCGGGATTCGCAGGGCCATTTATGGACCCGAGATTGGCGGATCTTTTGACCCGGATCCGGAAGGAAGCCGCTGGAGGCGGCACGTGGATGAAGTACGCTACTGGAGTTGCCGAGTTGGGAAGGTCCAAAACGGCATACGGACTCGCTCAGTGTATACCCGAGTTGTCGGGCCCGGACTGCGATTCCTGCCTGGACCACCTGACGTGGACGGTTCCTGGCGCGGGGGAAATCGGGCGCGTGGCGGTGAGCCTGGGCTGCTGGCTGTGGTACGGGATGCTCGAGCTCGACGGACCCGAAGGGTCTTGTTCGGGTTCAAAACTCGGTACCGAAATCGCTAGCTACGGTGACGAACTCGACGGTTTACTAGACTCGCTAGTAGAGAAAGCGTCACATGCAAATTTTTTCTCTACGGGAACATCCCCTGGCGGCAATGTACACGCGCTCTACCTCTGCCGCGGAGACGTCGTCTCTGGCGAGGAGTGCAGGAGCTGCGTGGCTGATGCGGCGCACGATATGCGATTAAGGTGTCCTTCGAATCGATCTGCTGTCATCTTGCGGGAGAAGTGCTTGGTGAGATACTCCGATCGGTTGTTCTTCGGGGTTTTGGAGATGGAACCGAGGGTAACTCGAGGCGATGGTGAAGAGAATAGTAGTAGCAGTACTACTGCTCCAACCCCGACTACTTCACCAAGTGGATCGAACAACAATAGCTGCAAGGCAGTCATGGCATTGGTCCACGAACTGGCAGGTTATGTCCCCTACACGGCTATGATGTACGGGACAAATTCCTCGGTGACAGATAACCAGTCAAACTATGCGATGGCACAATGTACGAGGGATCTCAATTCCACGTATTGCGAGGTGTGTTTGAATCAACTGATCATAATCGCCTCGGGATGCTGCCTGAAGTACAGCAGCGGGTGGCGGGTTCAGACGCCGAGCTGTAGCTTGTGGTACAAGCAAACTTTGTTCTACAATCCTGCGGCGCCTGATACTGACTATAGTCATAGTCATGATACTAGTGGTAAGTTTATAGGCAAAAAAGCTCATCTTCGTCTACCAATTGATTGATTGATTGTTTCGATTTCCGGTTAGTTTGGTTAATCTTTTCCATAGGTAGTTCCTTGAAGGTGTCGATGGCTGTCGTAGGAGGAGCCGCACTTGCTGCTGTTGTCTTAGCCGTGACATGTTTTCGGTGTTATGTACTGTTTTCGTGTAAACGAAGACTTACAGGTAAATTAATAGACCGCTCTTCGAACGATTTTTATAGTCTAGTTACGAAGATAATAATTTCGATATGATCCAAATCCAACCATAACTTTCTGTAATGAAGGAATCCTGAACAGGGAAGGAATCCAAGTAACAGAACATGAAAGCAACACCACAGAGATGCAATTCTACACTCTAGCTGCTGTTCAAGCTGCGACTAATAACTTCTCCGACGGGAATAAGCTTGGTGAAGGAGGTTTCGGACCTGTTTACAGGGTAAGTAAATGGAAAACACCCCAAGTTCAGAAAAAAGGGGGTTGATCTCCAATTTGGACTTGGATTATGTCAAGTGTGAGGAAATGAAGTTGTTTGAGCTCTCTGATTCAGGGGAGGTTGCCGAGTGGAGAAGAGATCGCGGTTAAGAGACTGTCGATGACATCGAAACAAGGGCTAGAAGAGTTCAGGAATGAAGTGATGGTGATTCTGAAGCTTCAGCACAAGAACCTTGTCAGGTTGTTGGGTTGCTGCTTGGAGAGAGGGGAGAAGCTGCTAGTCTATGAGTATCTTGCCAATACCAGTCTTGATGTTTTCCTATTTGGTTAGCCCTTTCTTCCAAACTTTTCAACCATATTGATCCCCACTTTTCTTAATTTCTCCTCTACCGCACAATCAATTGAAAATTGTTTCATGGTAACAGATGCTAGGAAGTGCAAGGAACTTGACTGGGAGAAGAGAGCAAACATCATAACAGGAACCGCCAGGGGACTCGTGTATCTACACGAAGACTCGAGGTTGAAGATCGTCCACCGCGATCTGAAAGCGAGCAATGTCCTGCTGGATGATGAGATGAACCCCAAGATCTCGGATTTCGGAACTGCAAGGATTTTCGGAATGGACCAGCACGAGGCCAGCACGGACAGAGTCGTCGGAACATAGTAAGTGAACAAGTTGTAGTGTCTTTCACTCTTTAAAAGTTTACAACCTGCAATTCTTGATAAACCGTATCATTTTTGCATCCAAAATAGTGGATACATGGCGCCGGAATACGCACTGGGAGGAGTGATTTCGACGAAATCGGACGTTTACAGCTTCGGAATCCTGATGCTGGAAATCATAAGCGGGAAAAAGAACAGGGGACCCTTCAATCAAGAACAAGCCACTAGCCTTCTGTCACTAGTAAGTAATTTTTACATGAAAACTGCTAATTAATTTATGTCATTAATCGGTAAGATTTGACGAATTTGGGTCGAGCAGGCGTGGGAGAAGTGGAGCGAAGGCAGAGGAGACAAGCTGATAGACCAAACCATCGTCGACGGCTGCTCCACCAGCGACGCGTTGAGGTGGATCCATGTCGGGTTGCTTTGCACCCAAGATGACCCGGCGGAACGACCCGACATGTCGAAGGTCGTCCTGATGCTTGGGAGCACGGCGGTGTGCCTGCCCCAGCCGCTGAAACCACCGTTCTCACTCGGGAACTTCTCGTCGGTTGGCGGCGGCGGCGACGACGGTGACGATGATCAGTCTTCCTCGTCGAGGGAAGGGACTGTGTATTCTTCTCCAGTGTCGACGTATCAATCTGTAGTTAACTGTAGTCATTCTGCGTAGATAAATGTTAGAAGTTAGAACTAATTTATTCTTTTTGTTATAGTTTGGTATGTTTCGGTTAGTTCATAGCTGATGATGACGAATGCATATTCCTATGATGTGGAATGTGATACTAATTTGGTAACGGGTTTGTTAAGGTGATTTTGCGGTCGGAAGAACGAAGAAATATGATTTATGGGTGTAGATTTGATGTCATCAGCCAACCAACAACGATGAGAACATGCAAGTTTCGGCCAGAATTAGCAGAGCCGCCACTAACAGGATCATCTTCCTGATAATGGCGCTGCTCGCAGGGATCCTCAAGAGGAGTTTTTGGCATTGGAGGTGGCATGTTGATCAACCCGCTCCTTCTTCAAGTTGGAATTGTAGCAGAGGTTCATGCTTCGCTTTTCAGTATGATTTGACAGAAACTACACTTTGATTCGGTTCGATGCAACCCAGACATCAATCAGCCTGGTATGAACAAAATGGTTGTCGAACCTATCCGCAATCGATCTTGCTCCGTATGTAACAGCTGCAACCTGCTCCTTCATGGTGTTCTTCTCCTCCAGCATGTCTGCTATTCAGAACCTACTAGTGAGGATGGAGCACATCAACACAGCCATCATCCTTTCGGCTACATGCTTCATCATGTCGCTCTCGGATTGCTGGTGGTGCACAGTACCATGCAAGAGTATGGTGCAAAAGCTTGACTTATTAGTGTTCTCAGTTGCCATTGTCATGGCAATGAGTACAGTTTTGATGACCATTTATGGAGCTCTCCAAGTCTGGAGAGATTACAGGGACGGGAACAACATGTGATTCAAACCTCCCTGTTGAAAAGAAGCAAAATTTTGCGCACAAACTGGATTCTGATTTCATATTTAAGCCCTTGGCATAAGGTAAGTCAAAAATTTGGTCATGAACGCCCATTGATAAGAGGCCTCACCTAGTAACCTTACAAAGCATATATGAATCTCTCAAGAATCTCATCAATGCTTCCACGACAATCTTGTAGCAATGATAAGCCAAAATTTGTGACAGAGAGAGTACGAAACACAGATTAACAAGTCAGTTCCGCATCGATGTAGTTTTAACTCTTGCGATTTAAAACGACTCTGATAATAACTTAAACCATACCAATAAAGAATGACTATAAACAAACATCAACCGAGGGTGTTGCCATTGGTGTCCCGCTCCCAGTGAAGTCAGTAATAGAGCCTTGCCTGAAAGCTTTAGCTTAAGCAACTGGAGGACGAATGGAATGATCCTGCGACGTATCAACAGCTGCAGGAGGCATGAACTGCCACATAGACATTTGAGGATACCCAACAAATGGCATCAATTTGCCTCCCATTGAACCAGGCGGGGGAGCAGCAAATGCAGCTGCAGCCATTGGATGAGGATGAGGCAGATATCCCGTTGGAGGAATACTAATGGCCTTCACTTGCCTTTCGAGCTGCTCCTTCTCTGTCTTCAGCCTCTGTTTCTCATCTCTCAGCTCACTCTTCTCTGCCTACAAACATATCCAAAATCAATCAAACATCTACAACTCAATTCGGTCAGTGGTTCCAAATTTTCCAATCGCTACCTTCAATTCGATGATCTTCTCTTGCAGGCTCTCATTCGACTCCTTGAGCTTCACAGCTTCGTCTCTCAGCTGAGTCACCATTCGAGCAGCATCAACTAAGATGGCCGATTTGTCCACCTTCGGTGGCCTACCTGGCTCGAGAATCGCACTCAGTTCCATGAACCTGGAGACCAACCGAACCTGGATTCAGAACGAGCTAATGGGGCCATTTTGCATTAACGAAAAGAAGTGGCATGGAAACTTTACCTGTCATTCAGCCTGTCTCTCCTCATTTTTTCTCTACATGCTTTCGACCTAGGAGGAGGTGGAGCACTGCTAGATTCATCTCTCGCCCTGGGGAAATTTCATGAACCCATGAAAACAAATCTAGGGTTTCCGAGAAAGAACAAATTCATGATTTCAGCTAAAATTGATTACCTTTTCCTAGACCCAGTTTCCTTGACACATTCCGAGTTCTCCAACGGGACATTGAACGGAACATTGTATCTAAGTACAAAAAAGAAAGCAACAACAAAAAGAAAATCAAACTGGAATCAATAAAAATCATTACTTTCCCTTGGATTCGACATCTTAAGAAGCTATCAATCAACGAAAACCCCAAATGCAGAGCTCAAATGCTAATCCTTAGGAAATTGGAATACTAAGCAAAGCGGGGGAGACTCAAAACAAAATCCCCAGTCAATTTACAAATCAGAAACAGAAATAGAAAACCCCAACAAATCAAAACAAGATTCCGCCATGAACAACTCCAATACTGAGGGGGCGAATTGGAAACGGGGAGAGACGGACCTCATGGGAACGGAATCAGGGAAAGAAGGATGGGCCGACCAAATAGGAACCGGAGGGTCGAGGGAAGGAAGCTCGCCGCCGAGAGGGACGGGGAGGTCATTAATCAAGTCGTTATCGAAGACCCAGTTGGAGTTATCGAAGTGGGACACCATCTCGGCCGTCGGTTCGCCGGAAAATCACGGCTTTCCCGGCGGGGTTCGTCGGTTGAGCAGGAGGCGCCGTGGCGGCGAGGAAGAAGGGGAGGCGATAATACGCGTCAGGAGGGAATCTGTTGTTTTGTGGATCGTGTAGAATTTCTATTTGGTTGGTCGGAAGAATACGCAAAAGCGGTAGAATTTGGGGTTGCTTGGTCTTCCTATCGCCACACGAAAGCCAGAGAATAACAATATTTTCTTTAACGCTACTCGGAAAAAGAAAAAGGCGCTAAAAAAAAAAGAGGTTAAGGAAAAGCAAAAAAGAAATAGATGGGCTTGTAATAGAATTGGGCTCATCGGCCTTTTTCACACTGTATTGGGCTCTTTATTATCAGAGCTCAACTTCTTGTGGAATACCAGTATACCACACTTTGTCTACCACCGGCCACATATAACTTGATTTGATTAAAACTTAAGAAATAAATAATTTTGTTAGTACTAGTTCTCAAAAATAATTATATCCAAATTAAAATCTGTTCCAATTAAAAGCACAATTAATCTGATTCAGTCATTTATGATATTTTATCGTCTATATTATCGATGATTTAATGTTATACGAATACGATACTGTTTACACCTAAAAATTATTTAATAACCAAATGAAATAATAATCACAAATTGCTTATAATACACATCCATCATTATGTTTGCACAAAAGTGTTGGGCAATGGACATGCCAAGGCAAAGAGAATCTAGCCTAGGAAAACCATGGGCGGGGGATCCACAGAACTTGTTTGTTTAGGCCCACAGGTAAGACATTTCTCAAGTTGCCAAGTTGGATACTCTATATTTGGAAGAATTTCCTTCTGAACCAACGATAAGATAAGTACGTAATATGCTTTTATTTATAATAAAAAAAAATAGAGCAAACAAATCACACCAAAAGATCTTTAGTGTGTGGGCCTCACTTCAGCTTGATCCATTAAAAGATTGAATACTGAAATTGAATAGTAAATATTTTGTTGTAGGTAGGATTGTTTTTTTTTTTTTTTTTGAAATGTGGGTGGCCGTTTCATTAATACGAAACACGGTGTACAGAGTTTTTACAACACTGAAAGGAAGGAAAAGACCAAACAAAATAAGATTGAAACTAACGGTGGCCCAACAAGGCCCAAAGAACCCTGGTCCAAAAACCACAAGGACAACCCACCCCTAGCAACCCTACTTCGTTCGCCCAATCACCATGAGGGCGGCCGCTGATTGCATCCTCCACCGCCGAACACAGCCTCCTTCACTCTTCTGCCTTCACAAAGACAAACGCTGGGGAACGATGGTGAAGAAGCCAAGAACAGCTCCAGGCACCGGCAACACCACCTGACCGACGAAGCACCGGCAAGAGGAAAGAAGGGAGAACCAACGACAAGGAGAACCATTCCCCAAGACGACTTCAAACTCCACCTGCACAACAAGTAAGACCCGAGAGCCAATCTCGAGCCAAGGACAGAGGAATGGTGACAAAATCACCACAATCTGAGCAAACAACTGGATCTCGTCCTCCAAAGTGACATCCTTACTCACAAGCTCCCTGATTCTTCAGCCAAGACAACAGAGGTCCCTTCTTCTCTGAAACATCCCCATTTATGGATGAAGGAAGTGGAGGAGGATGGAGGACCAGAGAGGAGCAAGCAGACCGACGCGGATCGGCCCCCTCAAACACCAACCAGAGAATCATCTACTCAGATCTGGAATCTGGTGGGCAGCAAAAACATCTCCTCGCGGAGGCATGAACAACATCATCACAAAGATGGAGAAGAAAGCAAGCAAAAAATAGATGCAGAGGAATCCCAACCAGATGCAAGAAGTATAAAAGAAAAGGAACCGGAAAAAGGCAAAGCAGAAAACAAAGGAAAGCATCAAGAATGAGGATCCAGGGCTAGTTGCGGAGAGGATTTTAGTGCTAGTTTGGTACCTCCGATTCTAGATGTTGTCCTGAGAATACAACGTTTTTTTTTTACTTGATGCAATAACAGAATGCATGTATTCATAATACATGTTATATTCCTAATACGTAGAAAATGATGTATTCATAACCTTACCATTTTTGTGAGATTTGAGTATCCATAGTTCATTTGAGTATCCATAGGCTGAGATGGCAGTGGTCTCCGCCTTCGCTCCACCGTCGCGACGCTCCTCTATCGGAGGATGATTTCCTCCGAATCGACCTCGATGGATGGGATTGGAAGAAGAGAGAGCTTGTTCGGAGACCACTGCCATCTCAGCCACGATTTGCCATCGATGAAGAAGAACGAGGCGGAGAGACGAGACCGCGACGGAGAGACGAGACCGCTTTATGGGTTGCGCGGTGGACTACGGGATTTCCAACAGCAGGACGGCGGCGCCGCCCAGGGAGGCCGCGTTGGAGCGTTTTTTTCCTGCTATTGAACTCCGTCGTCCTCGGGTTCAGCTGCCGAAAACCACCTGCTGGTCGTGGATAACGTGCGATGGCGCTGGCGATGGGAGAGATGCGGATTGGCACGGCGATGTCAGAGGATTGGCGCCGGAGAAGATTGTTGTTCAGAGGTACAGATTCGACCGCCGCTGTTGCTGGGGAGACAGGGAGATAAAACACGCTTAGGTATTTAGATTTTGTTTATTTATCTATTTATAATTTGTTATTTATTGCTATTTTACTATTTTACTGTTACCAATATAGATACTATAAGCTTATTAATAAAGTTAAGGGATCGTTTGCATGATGGATTTGATGATGAATTTGGATCAATCATGGACTTTATCTAAACTCCATTGTTTGCTTCATGGATTTATGGCAACAAATCTGTGGACCCCACGGACTTGAAAGTTCTACCTCCTTAAGTGGGAATTGATCATGGACTTTGAAGTCCATCATTGATGACCAAACTACCCTTCCTACTATCTTTCTCTTCTCAGACCAATATGGGCAATATAGGTCAATTTTACTTCATACATAAAAATCTAATTAACCAAATCCATAATAAAATCTATGAAACAAACAATGGTATTTTTGAAGTCCATCATGAATCCAAAAGCCTCATATATTCATGATTTTACAAAACCCAAGTTTTACCAATATCTTAATTTTTCAAATGCATAAAGCAAACTAATCGTATAAGCGTCCCTTTGAACCAATAGATCTTTGAATCAATTAGAAGCTATAAGAAAATCCATGAATCATCTCCATCAACGAAAGCTATAAAAAAAACCCAATTAACTCTTGCATAATTTACATTGGTTATGGTAGTGAAGTGAAGAAACATTACTACAAGCCACAAATATAATCTACAAGTTCATAAGTATATAGCAAAGAAATCCTTTTTCCAGAAACAAACCCACGGATTCCAACACAAAGCTTAGGTCTTCAACTTCAAAATGGGCTAGAACAAGACCGGATGAAACCATCAACCCTTTTCCTTATCTCATCCGGATTGGCTCCAACAATCTTGTCAGCTGGATTCCCATCCTTGATCAACACAAAAGTAGGCATGGCCTTCACCTCCAACTTCGCAGCCACCTCCTACAAGTCAATTCAAAGATCAATCATGTACGAATCTCTTAGGTATATATCCAACCCAAACTGAAGCTCAGAACCATCGAAAATAAAAATAAAAACGTGATCAATTGTTGAAACATAATACCATCCAGCAAAACTTGTCTATTCAAATTTGCATGGCCTTCACCTCCAATCATCCTTCAAGCATCACATCGGCATCAAAGAAACCCCATGGTATGCATTATGCAACAAGCTGTTCCCTAGAAGGTTGCTTTCAATGGTTTGATTGGAAAATGGCTTACTTGCCCTCTTAATCTAAACTACTGCCATGGAAACAAGCCTATCTAACCAAATCTGAAATCGTTGAATTAGGGCTGTTGGTAAGTTATTGGATACAAATTCCAAATCCTCCTTTCAGTATCTAAACATACTAAAATCATGGAACCTTCAACAAAATAGCTTGGTAGAGGAGTTGAGAGTTAAACCCTTGATCTTAATGAGGTAAAACTTCTTCAATGGTCAAACAATTGAACCCTCTAGAACTAGACTGGATTTCCAGAAACCTAACTGAAGACAAATATGAAAGAAGAAGAAGAAGAAGAAAACAGAGGGTCTTGAAAAGGATGAACCTTTTTTTCCCCCCCTATTACCTTAACTTCATCGACATCCACAACAAGAAAAATGGCATCTGGGTAAGTCAAAGCCAGCTCCTCGAAGAAAGGGCTCATCACCACCGACGGCATGCACCACGAAGCTGTGAAATGCACAATCACCTGCCCTTCCCCAGGGAACAAATTCAGCTCAGAGCTACAAAGACTTAAAAAACGAAACATTTTCCCAATAATTCGAGTTATTATTGACGAATTCGGAAACAGAACGAAACTTACAGGGTGGGTCTGGTTGAGGTATGAATCCCATGTCTGTAAAGAGTTGACCTTTAACACCTTGGACTTAATTTGCTGCTCGTAGCTCTCCATCCCTATCTTTCCCCTGTTTCTGGGTCTGGCTTTCTTTGGCTGCTCTGCTCAGACAAAAGGAAGATAGAAGGCGGAGAGAGGCAGGGGAGTATATATATACACTACTATATCCAATACAGCTACTTGGAAAATAAAAAACAAGGAGAGATAAGATGTCGAGGAAATGAAAGTGGAACATGAATGACAAAAAAAACGTTCTTTCTAGAACATGACGAGAAAGAGGAAGGGAACAGAGTGAAAACGGGACCCAGAATTGCAGAATCCCAGATTACGAGACGCTATCCGTTTGGCCTATCCAATAAAACGGCGGCGTACTGAGGCGCTTTGGAGAGAACACTGTTTACACTGTTCACACTGGATTCAGTAATCAGTTCAATAGTAAGTATCAGCAACAAGTTCAACCAAGTGGTGAACTTTTTTGCCAAATTAGAATCACAAACCCAAGTAATACAGCGCAAAGCCATTCTGTTCAGAAACAAAAAGAAATAACATCCCACAAATCAGGTTAAAGGAAATCTACAGACAAACACACGCCACACACCCAAAGCTTATTTTGCTCCAACGAAAGATCACAATGATCGAACAAATATGACAGGGTGGGGGGAAAAAGAAAGAAACAAAAGGCTAGCTAGCTAGCACCTAGCTTGATTGTGTGCGGTTTTACTTTTTAGCCATAGCTCAAACGGGAATCGGCAGCAGCAATGGCGGGTCTCAAGTTCGTCTGGCGCCTGGGAACCCCGATTTCGCAAGCGTTGACTCTGGCCGCGAACTTCAGAGAGCATAGCGATTCTCCGACGGAGGAAGGGTCGGGGGACACGTTGACGAACATCAGCGTTTTCGAGTCCCCGCCTAAACAAGGCTGTGTTTTAAGAGAACTACGGGTTAATGATGCAATTTCATCCCATCATTAGTCCAAAATCAGGAAATTAGTAATTTTTAAGTACCTGAAGGAGATACGTCAGCTTGGAGTTCCTGAAGGGAACGTGGTCTTCTTTCTTGGCAAGGGCGAAGATTACATCAGCTAAGCATGACAGACTTTTGTTTATGGCCTGTATAGATAGAGAGAAAGAGAGCTCTAATATGAGAATTTCTATGAAGGTCGTCAATGGAGGATAATGGATGATGGTTGAAAAGGAAATGATACCTGGGTCTCCTTCAACCTATCGCCAGTTGCTCCGCTTCTGGAAAGGCGTTCGCTCCCGGCCAGATCGATGAGGTTGAGAACGCCTTGCACCTGTTGCTCAGTTCCCTGGTAATGAGCAGAAAACAATGCAAAGATCAAGAGACTGGGATAAAAACCACAAAATGAAGGCTGATGAAACACTCCGGTATGACATCGAAGTTTTGAAATTTACCTCGTTCACCCCGTAAATTCGCAGAGTGAAAACAAAGTGGCTTCTAGAAGACTGCTCATTCATTTGGGTTCTCCCAACAGATCTAGTGCCGCAGTCAAGTCAAAGAGAGTCATGTATGACATTAAGATGGGAAAAGCAACAGATTAGGAGAAGTTTTGAGCATCGAGTTGTTTATACCTGCTTTGAGCTGCCTGTCGAAGGAGAGAGGAAATCTCTGATATGCTGCTCACATCAACGACAGTAAGGTCTGTCACGTGTGTATTTCCATTAGCGTCATGTTTTATGTTGTATTGCTTTCCAGGTGCACTGCTGATATCGCCGCTGGAGGAACGGTTTGGTGATAGCAAGTCCCTAATTGTTTCATTGTATATCTCCAACATTGAGGCCTGGCAGAAGAAACTTGTTAGTAGATGTGACAATATGTCCAAAAAAAGAGCAGTGAAGTCAGATTCAACGTGCCTACCTGCATTTTGTACTTCCAGCCCTGGGCCATAAGTACTTGACTAGCTTGAAATATCTGCTCGAGGGAGCGCGGGATCAGGCCCTTCAACTCGGGTGCTTCAGGCCTCCCCATCATGGTGTAGGTTTTCCCAGAACCCGTCTGTCCATAGGCGAATATACAGACCTTCGCAGATCAACAGGTAGATGCAATTAGTGAAGAACTAGGAGAAAATTTACAGTGAAGTTGACGGCTTGATCAAGTAAACTAACCTTATAGCCATCAAGGGCGCTTTGAACCAACTGGGAAATTTCCACAAATACATCTTGTTGTGAAGCATCATGGCTGAACACCTTATCGAATGTGAAAGGGTACTTCTGACCTGTTCAAACAATAGCATGGATAAAGAAAGATGAATGATATAACAGTAACACACAGCAAATGCGGGAGGACAAGAGGTCAAATATACCATTTTGCATGACGTCAATCCCACGACCAAGGGATTCTACAGAACTAGGATAAGTAACAACTTGTGTGTCAGCCCGAGCATCATCTGGCAACGAAGGACGAACTCTACAGAAAACTCGGATGTTGCCCTTAAGTTCCTGTATTCAAGTGACTCAGAGATTAAGTAGATGGAAATACTACTTTGTATATATTATAAGGCGTCTAGCAATAGAGACATTACCAAAATAGTATTATGCAACTTCTTCCTCAACTTCTCTCCTTCAAGGAGTTGATGTTCTGCATCGGCAAGTCGCTCCTGCAATTCACTAACTATTTTTCTTTGTTCCACAAACCCTGTCTGTGCTTCAGCAGCAGTCATGTCCAACGTCTAAAGGAAACAAATAAGCACCAATGTGGATCAAATGAGCAATAATAGACAGCAACTAAAAGATTAAAATGCGCTAGGTTTTGTACAACCACAGTGCATAGTACCTTTGACTTCTCATTTGCTGCAATCAATTTCTGCTCCAACAAATTTATCTGCTGGCTTTGAGAAGAACAAGTTTCCTAAAACACAAGGAAAGCTGTCAGATAAGTTTTTGCATATCAAACAAACAATATTTACCATAGAGGATATACTACAGTTTAAACCAACCTCTAATGACTTTGTTCTTGAAATGAGGACATCCAATTCAGCCTGGGATTTGCCTGTATTATCTTTATATTTCAATAGTTCAGCGTTCAAGGCCTGAACTTGAGCCAACTGTCGATCACGATCATCTCTCACTTGTTGAAGATCCCCACGAAGGCATTTTACTTCATTGGCCAATGAATGTTTCATATTGACTGCCTCATCTTGAGAAGCCTGGAATTTATTGAATATCCATTCACATCAACCAGATTCACGTGTCGAAACCTTTAAATGAGCAGATGAGAAAGTAGCATAAGGGTGTACATATAACTTACTCTTGAAATAGCTAGCTGTTCCTGCAATGACTGTTTATGGCCCCTTATAGTACTTAGGTTCTCGACTACTGCGGCCTTCTCTTGCTCCACTCGTTTCAAAGTTTCCCAAGCTGCCTCAAGGTCACTATGCAATTTGGTACTGTAATGTTGTAGGCTCTCATTGTACGCCTTCAAGCTGTTATGTCTGTCCGCATCCAAGGAAGCCTGCAATTTTTTTAACAGAACTTGAAATTTGGGACAAACAACTACACACTCTGGACAAACCCTCTTTCGAATACCTTAGTGTAGTTATGTCACGAAAGGCTTAGATCAGAAGTTACCTTCTTATTAGCTTCCTCAAGTTCTTTCGAGAGAGAAGCCTTCTCAGACTCTAATGTGATTCTTGCCTCACGTTCCATCCTATAACTTTCAGTGGCAGCCTAATTGTGGTAGAACAAAACAGAATAAGAGAAGGATAAAATATGGAAAAGATGAACGGCCACTACATAGCTTGGTCAAAATTGAATGCAATGAGTAATTACCAGCTTCTCTGATTCTTCCTTGGAAAGCTTATCCTTCAAAGATGAAAGCTCTTTAGTCAAGTCTGCTATAGTTGTTCTAGACACCTCTTCAGTTCGTAGCATTTCCATCTCTAAACCCCAGCAAACACAATGACATTACAAGCAGCTCTGCTAGGTCGATGACTAACTCATTACATTCTACCAACAGACCAACTTAAGGGTTCATCAAATTAATTCTTACCAGTATCCGCACATCGCTTCTCGCAAGTTTCCAAAGCATTTCGGAGCTTGCTCTCCTCCTCAACATGACCTTCCTCTCTTTTCTGACACCATTTGAGACAAAGCTTGAGCCTGCTGTTAAGCTCCGTCGTTACTTCCAAATTTCCCTGCAAGCGAATCATAGAACCACCAGAGTGTGAAAGAACTGAACCACAACCAAAACCCAGGCTATAAACAAAACCAAAACTCGTCACTGTGTAACCTTGAGATCGAATCTCTTCATCTTGGGCCTCTCGTTTACCAATGCCTCAACTTCCTCCTTCGTGAACTCGGTGCAAATACTCTCCGCAGCATCATTGATGCTTGCATCTGCCGAGCTGGCCGCCGCATCCAGCTTCCTGTTAATGGAACCAAACGGCTTACGGTCGCCGCCTCCAGTCTTCACTGCAGCAGCTCCAACCCTCCGACGCTTGTCTAACGGAACCCCGTCACCATCAACCCGTTTCTACAACAAGTCAACGAATTGAGATTCATTCAATGCTCTCTACTAAGACTAAGAACGCCAAATTCAGAACTAAGGGAAAATTAAACTAGAAATCAGGCACTCACAGTAGCAGGACTCCGAGGAGGCCTGTTCTGGTTCCGAGAAGCCATCATTGGACCGTTCGTCTGGAACTAAACAAAAGAACTGAGGCGAAACGGTGCTTGTGGAAAGAAACTGCTTCCTCCTCTCCAAGTGTGTTCTTCGGAGAGGGCTCGATTCAATTCGATCCCGTCGATTGACTCGGCGAGCGGCGGAATGATGGTCGGAATTAGCTACTGGAACGGGAGATCTGAGCTTTCGCCGGCGAAATCTGAATATGTCTACCGTTAGGGTTGCGACTTGCGACGGACGGAGAAGCCGGAGAGAGAGATTGGGAAATCGATTTGGGCGGAAAATGAAATTTTGAAACGATTTGAATTTTCGGGAGAGGAGGCGCGTCTATTTTCTTTTGACGGGGTGGAAAGGAAAGTGGCCGTTGGAAGAATTCACTTGGGCTCGGCCCAATTTCATTCGTCGTAAAATTTACTGCGGGCTGGGCTGGGTCCAGCCACTTAATCCCATCCCATCCAAACCGGCAGAAAAACAGACTCATCTTATAGACTCCACGTGGCAGCCAACCACCAGCCCACAATCGAATCCGACATGTCAAAACGGAGAAAACTGACCAACACGTGTCGTGCTCTAATTGGTGCGAATCATATCCTGCCTTATCTAATGTCAGATAAGGCAAGTTTTAGCCAACAATCAATCTACATCACACACACAATTGAACAAATAACCAGTGCCAGATATACAGAGCTCCAGAAAACAAACCATAATCAGAAAACTGAACAACAATGGCTCAGGCGATGGCTTCGATGGGTGGCTCGACCCGATTGAACGTGGCTAGCGCCACCGGCCGCGTGGCGGCTGCAGCTCGTCCGGGCGGCTTCCTAACGATTCGAGCACAGCAGCAGGCTGCTGAGCCGGAAACCAGCCGCCGGTCAATGATGGGTCTTGTCGCCGTCGGTTTGGCTTCTGGGTCTTTCGTCCAGGCGGTGCTCGCCGAGGCCAATTCGATCAAGATTGGCCCGCCTCCGGCTCCCTCCGGTGGACTGCGTAAGTAAATTGATATAGGGTTCGTCTCTGTTCATTTGTTTGACCGGTCAATTTGAGGGTTATGAAATTCTTTGATTCTGGCAGCTGGGACGCTGAACGCCGACGAGGCGAGGGACGTGGACCTGCCGCTGAAGGAGAGGTTCTATCTGCAGCCGCAGACGCCGGCGGAGGCGGCGGCGAGGGTCAAAGTGTCGGCCAATGAGATAGTGAACGTGAAGTCGTTCATTGACAAGAAGGCTTGGCCGTATGTGATGAACGACCTTCGGCTCAGGGCGTCGTACCTTCGCTACGACCTCAAAACCGTGATCGCTTCCAAGCCTAAGCCGGAGAAGCAAGCCCTCACCGATCTCACCGGAAAGCTCTTCCAGAGCATCAACAATGTAAGTTTTGTAAGAGTGAAGTAAGATCTTATCTTAAACTTCTCTCGACAACTCGGAGTTCACTAGGTTTCGTTTCGGCAGTGCATTATAGAGTTTAGGTGATGGTTTAGGCGTTCGAATCCTGATTGTGTATGAACACTAAATTAATGCACTAGTCTTTGTAGGGTTTATACAATCTTCAAGTCAATGAACGTATAAATGAATGACATAAACCCTTTTTGGAAATCTCCTAACAGCTCAGAGTTATTAAGATTAACGGGTTCTCGATATCATTGTAAATTTATCGAAATACTTTTGATTCTTTGAGGTACCCAAATGCTAGTATCAAACTTTTTTGAATCTAAAGGTGCTGATCAAAATTGTTGTGTTCTTTTGATGGGTTTATTGCAGCTGGATTATGCAGCAAAGATCAAGAGCTCTCCTCAGGCAGAGAAGTACTATGCTGAGACCGTATCTAACTTGAATGATGTTCTGGCTAAGCTGGGTTAAGAGCTAGGGCTAAGAATTGCTGTATTTTCCATGTTGTGGAAAACTTTTTTCTGTTAGTTGGTTTGGGACTATGATGAGATCATTGCTTGCTCCCATCGTAAATTCGTAATGTTATTTTGCAGGGGGGGAGACAACTGTGTAATTACAACTTTAATTTTCCAGCCTTATATGAAGAAGCTCTTTGAATCTGCGATCAAAGTGATTAGTTCCAAGGAACAAATCTCGAATGCCTAAGTCCCTAACCTTAGCATGTAGGCATTAGAACCTTTTAACTCTACTGGTTTTGTATTTGGTTTATCATTGTCTCCCTCCGCCTTTAATGGAAAGATTCATGTTAGAAACCCTCTTTCTAGGGCTTATAGAGACTGATCTTGGGCACCCGTGATTACTCATAACAATAGGAATTGAGAATAAAAATTAGAGATTTAGATAATAAAAATTAGAGATTTAGATAAGAGAATTGGGTATTAAGGATTGGGTATTCAATCAAATAATAAAAATTAGAGATTTAGATAAGAGAATTGGGTATTAAGGATTGGGTATTAAGGATTGAAGACCGTATTGGGGAAGAACATAAGAGAATGGGCGAAGCCTCTAGGAAGAAGGATAGAGTTTGAGAGAGAAAGATATATTAATGTTTGAGAGATATTTTCTGAATAATTGTTCTTGATTATTCTGGATTCAAACCTCATGTACATATTTATAGGAAGATACAGGAAAACTTGCTAAATAACCTAATTCTACCCAAATTCTACTAATCCTAATAATAATTATCATACGAGAGAAACCCACGAAAATGATGTTTCTAACATTCCATATGTCTATTGAAACACATCATTCTCCAGAACATACCGTTTGAAACCTTTAATTTCATAAGGATATCCTACAACATGGTTTTTCTTGCTCTTTCTGCAAATTTTCTCATGTGCTCGTCCAACACGGTGGCATAAAGCAGAGCAACCAAAAACCTTCAATGAACTATAGTCGGGAGGGATATCATATAAACTTTCAAATGGTATTTTATTCTTCAACACAGGTGTGAGAATCATGTTAACTAAGTAAGCCCCATGCAAAACAAGGTGACTCCATAAACTAGTTGGAACTCCATATTGAAACTTCAATACCCTAGCTACATTTAGCAAATGTCGATATTTCCTTTCAACTCTGTCATTCTGTTGTGATGTTTTAACACAACTCCTCTCATGGATTATTACATGTTCTTGGTAAAAAGCAGGCATATTAAACTCTCGCCTCTGATCATACCTGATAACCTTAATCTTCTTTTCAAATTGAGTTGCCACCACGGTGTAAAAGGGTTGCAATAAACCACGAGTTTCGAACTTGTACCTCATAAAAAACAGTCATGTACTTCTACTAAAGTCATCCAAAACTGTCAATAAATACTTAAAACTATCGCGAGAGACCACATCAATTTGTACCGAGATGTCCACATGTGTAGTGTCAAATATGGTAGCAACCATTTTTTACTTATAACAAAAGGTAAACGTTTTTGCTTAGCCATACGACAAACCTCACAATCACTCGATTTTGGTACTACTACTTCATTACATTTCTTCTCTACTTCTTGTTATCTTGGTAAGGTTAGGTGTCCTAGTCTGGTATGCCATAAGTGTAAGCTTTGTCTGGTGTTCACTCCATTAATGTGGTTTCAGATTCTCTCCAAGTTTTGTGCAAAGCCTTCTATCTACGTGGATTAAATCAATCATTTGTTGAGAGATTAGGTCATGAATGCAACAAAAATTAGATTCAAACATGAGTGAATCTAGACTACGATTGCTTGTCTGGTAGTGATTTGTTTATACTATTAGTAACTAATGATTATTTAATTAAGCTTAGGGGTTTAGTTTAGTAGCTAATCACTTAAAGTTCATTTGCAGGGATGTCCGATGCTTGGGATGAGAATGATCCAAATCAGATTGGTCATGAAGATATATCAATGGAAACAGATCGTGATGCAGTTGCATCCATTACACAAGATATCTACCATGTTTACGACTCTGAGAATGCCTTGACATCCGATGATGCGTACCACGAAAATAGGGATGCCTTACGTTCCTATGGGGAAGGGAAGAGAAGGAAGGTGAATGCAAGGGCGGTTGTCGATGGGGAAGAGGTTGATAACCTTGAGGAGTTTGAGGAAGACGAAACTGAAGATGATGAGGAGGAAGGAGATGATGCAGCTCCACAACCACCTCATAGCTCACATCACTCCACTTCCCACCAGGCTTCAGAGGCACCTCCATAAACTATCGTGGGTGTTTATGTCGATGAGAACACGGGGAACCAATATGTTAGGGTGATTTGACAAATATTGGAAGGGTGGGATTTTTTGAATACAAACTGCCTAAGTACTTACATATGTGTGTTCTTAGATTTGCAGCTGAATGGGGCACGTGGTCGCCCTCATGGAGATCCAAAACCAGTTCATTTAACCCAAACTTCTGTGATGGACTTACATGGAAGCCAACCACCACCAACTCAGCCTTAGAATGCCATGAAAGAAACCTTTTGACTCGTTTTTTGTACAGGCTAGAAACTGAGGTTGTTAGGTGTTATTTTGGATGACTCGTGTAATGGCTATAAGAAGCCTTAAGGAATGCTAACTTTTTGTTAAGAGTCTTGCATACTCTTTTTGTAGTGGAAACACCTTATGTTAGGTTATATTATGGGTTAAAAAACAATGTAACCAAGTGATGTGAACAAGTAATGTGAACAAGTAATGCAGTTATTATGTTAGGTTATGTAATGCAGGTTATGCACTTCTTTTGTCCACAAATACAGCTTATGCAACTCTTTTCATCATTCAATGCCAAAATGTTATACCAAATACATGTGGACAAACTTACATACTAGTGGAAGTTCGACATCGAATTACATATCCAACGTATATAAACGATAACTTACATGCCACAATCCTTCCTCCACAGAACCACAAACAAAAACACATTCATGATCAACAAAACAGTCAACATATATATCATGACCCGGATCTCTTCAGCTAATCCAACTTGCCGAACTTGCATCCCATTCCTTAGCTCTTATGCCATTAGCTTTTTATCCTTCTTCCTCCTCTCAGCATTGGATTCGGCCAACCCAAGTCTCTCTTCCAAGTTCATAATAATACTCTCCATATCATGGTTCCTTGACTCTAATGTTTCCTCATTGCCGTTCACCCACCTAAAAAATCTACATCCTTTCCCATCCTGCAAACCATCGTCCCTCCTTAGTCAACCAACATCAAACCGATAAAATCATCAAATTACAATGAAATGGCCTTACCTTCCAATAACGACAGCCATAGAACTGCCTTCTTGGATTCAACTCAGTCCCAGAGGTATTAATCATAGTCACAACTAGGACATTGTGTTCGCATAGGATAGAAAACCCACTCTTGACACTTGTTGAGTCCGAATCGGCGCCATTCTTGTGAGCACCCCGAATGCCCCTTTGTGACATCGTTAGGGATGGGAAATGCGGACTGTCGATGGAAATATGGAAGGGACGAGGGGAGCCAGAGGTTGGCGAAATCGGTGAATGGGTAGGGGCGACAAGCGACGACAGCGAAATCACTATTGTTGGCAGTTTCGATGGTTCTTCGCCGGATTGCGGCTGCCGTTGTGAGGAAGATGGAAGTCGATTTCGGCTGTTTCTGGGAGGAAGATGAAATCAAAAATTACGATGGAGGAGAAGTCGTTGGGCATATTTAATTGCCCCAATCGGTTCTCTCTCCTCAGGATGACGTGGCCGGAGGTGGCAATTCCAGTCCAGTTGGTGCCGACGTAGAGTAAAAAATTTAGCCACCTCAGTGACGCGAACAGGTAACTAATGACATCACTAACGACGTCACATTTAATAATGGAAAATGACCATAATTGTCAAAGCATTTTCAAAATTTTGACTATTTCTGTGTATTTTTTCAGAATCTGGCTATATTTGTCAAAAAGTGTAAAGTTATGGCTATTGAAGTGTATTTTGCCTTTAAAAAAAGAAGAAGCGGAAACTAAAACAAGGCCAATACTACGGTGCCGCTCTAAAAATTGCGGCACCGGTGACGCTACATTTGATTGGGCCATGTGGAGCTTATGTGGCAGTCACTTAATTGATTTAAGCCAAAACCAAAACCCATGAGTATATTACTAACCATAACCAACCCGTCCCTCACTCACATTCAAACGGAGACTCCTTCTCCGTCAAACCCAAACGATTCCTCCTTTTTTTTCTTTGCCAAACTATCTTTATTTTTATTAATTAAAAATGTAATTATTTTGTTACTTTGTTTAGAGGAAGATTCAGAAAACAGAGAAACAGGGGATGACGATCGACGAACCAGAAGGGAGTTTATTGATCTCCTTCTCCGAAATCTCTCCAAAATCACTCCGGTGACTTGTTCATGGCCGATGATCCATTCTCCAAAACACTCCGGTGACTTGTTCAGAGGCGAAGAAATCTATATCTTCGTAGGCCTCTGACACCATCGAAAAGCGCCTCCGCCAAAAGCCAAACGAGTCCAGGTCAGAGAAGTGAGAGACGCTTCCTTCACCGGCGGTCGCTCCCAAATCATTCCAACATTAAACTTTTGCCCACTAAGTAGAAACTAATGAGAACCCTAAATGGGAATTGAACCCTACTCCTAATGTTTGATGTACGGATGCAAAATTCTCCAAATCCTATCGTGATAACTTACAATGAGATAGAACCTTGGACTGGGCAATACGACTCCATCAAGAAACGAACAGATAAAAAGATGCAGAAGAGGATCTCGGATCGAAGACCTCGATTAGGGTCAAAATGAGGGGAAGATGAGATTTCGATGACGACGGAGCAGGTGACGGATCTTAGTGGAGGTGAATCGGGTAGGCTGTACCAGATATTGCATCGGCCTCGGCGGTTTTCGATTTTGACACAGGCGGCGCAGATACATGTTCCTTCGCCTCCGATCTGGAATCGAAGGGTAAGGTTGACCCTGGAGATGAGATCGACCAAGAACAAGTGACCCTATTGATTCTGCAGTGACCGCCGCGGTTCTCCCCTTCTCTCACTTGGCACCGTCTGGAGTGACCGCCGGAGGAGTTTGCGAAACTACCTTCGGGTTCCTTCCGCCGTCGACCTCTGTTTTCTGGAGCTTCCAAAAAATAACCTAATTAAAGTTCTATTTAATATAAAGATAAAACATTTTGGCGTTTGGGTTGGACGAAGAAGGGTCTCCGTTAGTGTGGGCGATGCGGTTTGGTTCTAGTACTCAACACTCACAGACTTTGGGCCTGGTTCAATCAAAGCCAACTCATGCCACATCACCTTCACGTGGCCCAATCATATTTAGCGTCACCGGTGCCGCAGTTTTTGGAGCGGCACCGTAGTATCGGCCCTAAAACAAAGAAACAAAAGTTTTGTACAAATTGAGTTGGACCTTATGAAAACTGGGCCTGTGATTGCAGGTGTTTCTTTTGTCTACGAGCCCACACGCGTGTCACCCGCTTGCAAAGTTATCCAGCCCATATTATAAAGTTCCTGCATTTTGATATTTTCATATTCCCGCCCTCGCTAACAACTTTTCCCGGAATGCCAGCTCATACGGGGTAAAATTCAAATAAACAAACGAGGAAAGCAAACTCTCATCATCCAGCCGTCCGCTCCTACCCCGAATCAACGGCCACAGATCGCGATCCGCGTCAGTCCCGCTGATTGGTGAAACTTATTCCTACCCACTATATATAAACCATTGCTTGAAAGATTTCAAGTCACAAACCCACAACTTCTGTTCAGTGAAATTAGCGCCACTCCCAAATTTCCCTCCATCGAAACTTTACGAAATTTTTAAAATCCTCATCTCAACTTCACCAATGGCCGGAAGAGGAAAATCGCTGGGCTCCGGCAAGTCCCAGAAGAGCACCACCAGGAGCACGAAAGCCGGCCTGCAGTTCCCCGTCGGCCGCATCGCTCGCTTCTTGAAAGCCGGCAAGTACGCCGACCGCGTCGGCGCCGGAGCTCCCGTCTACCTCGCCGCCGTCCTCGAGTACCTCGCTGCCGAGGTAAATTTTGCCCTTTCCCACCTTCCCACTCACTCCTGTTTCTCAATCAAATCATGTAAAGCTCTCAGATCTGGAACCTAACTGTATTGTTTTGGTGATTCTTTTTTGTTCTTCAGGTTCTTGAACTGGCCGGGAACGCCGCGAGGGACAACAAGAAGACGAGGGTCGTCCCGAGACACGTGCAGTTGGCGGTGAGGAACGACGAGGAGTTGAGCAAGCTGCTTGGTTCAGTCACCATCGCTAACGGCGGCGTGATGCCCAACATTCACAACATGCTTTTGCCCAAGAGAGCCGACGCCAAAGGCCGCTCTGCCGCCGCCGCCGACGAGTAGATGCTCTGTTTCTTTCTTTTTGTACTTGACATTGTGAAGTGGAAATTTGCAGAGGAAGTAGCTTAGGTTAATTAGATGTACTGATTTCCTTACAGTTTCTTGTATGGGTTCTATGATCGGATCGCTAATGAATGAAATCCATTTTCATTTCGATTTCTGAATTCATCTGTTCGGAACTATATTTTAGAATATGCGAACAAATCCGTTTGTGAATGAACGAAGGGGATTGGACAGAAGATTACAAGTGGGTATTTCGAACTAAGGAACAATTTGAGCTTTGAATTCGAATTGGTGCTAGACATGGCCGGCGTGAAGGTGTTGTTCTTCCTTGGCTGCGGCGGCAGCAGAGACGTAGTAAGCGATGGTGAAGAGCCCATGGATGAAGCAAAGAATCCCTCCAATGGAAAGCACTCGATTGTGGGAGAGGCCGCAAGATTTTCTGGACTTGGAGTTCGCCATTATTCCTATGATCAGCATTGAGAACCCAACCACCATGGTGATCCTGTTTTCGACAATCCAAAATACACCCCAAATTAGAAACCCGTGACCATTATCAGAAAGGCAAAAATCTCACCACGTTATGTAACAGAAGGAGAAAAAAGAAAGACGGGATTAGCATCCGCTTATTACCATGCGAAGATGAGTGAAGCGACGGCTAATTGCCGGTTGGCGGATGCTCTCTGTAACTCTGCTTTGGACGACATGCAAACGCACCCGCCGAGCAAGTTGGCAATCACATGTGCAAACGTTAGCAACACCGCGGCGGCAACCCCGAGCTTGAAAGCCTTGATGCTCGGGTCGCGGCACTCGAAGATCCACACCTTCAAATGCTTCACCTGGTCCAGATCAAGAGGAAATCGTTTAGTCCTTCTACGTCTTCTTCTGGTTCGTAGCTTCATATCATGCACCTTAATTAAGCAGAAACAATCAGAAACATGAAGGTGGCATACCTTGTTCTGAGAGATATCAGCTTCAATCCCAAGTATGCCAGCAGTGACATCCATGGCCATGATCAGCAAGCAAATCGCCACTCCAACGTTCTTATTATTCGACATTCTCTCGCTCTGATCGTCGGGAGAGGTGGCCAAATGTCCAGAGTCTGTATTTGGAAGAAGCTTGGGGGGAGAGAACGTGAATCCTTTCATACTTATAAAAGCTAGGTGGTGGATTATATTCTTGGAGAAGCGATCTAATGTTGAACGAATGGGAGAGTGCGTGGAAGATGGGAATACGAATAAAGGGTTAATTATGAAGGCTCAAATACGTTTGCAATCTGACAAACTTTATTAGAATGAACAAGAGGGGTTTTTGTACGTTTGTTTCAGCCACATAATCCGGCTTCCACGACTCTAACCACTACTCAATGACCCTGCAAATCAGCTAACACAACTAACCAACTAACTATAATCACGCAACTACACTTGACACTTGGACAGGACTCGAATAACACAAACAACTACTTCAGGGACTCTTAATGAAATAAACCAGACGGCGACGTTTCCTTTATTAGACACACTGGACTTGAAACTCAGACTTGGCGCGCGTTTTGCTCCAATCCTTCTCCTGGTAGGATTCGGATTCTCTGCTGCAGATCAACTTCCAACAAATCCTCCCCTGATCTGAAGCTCCTCGCGCCATGAACTTCAGATCATCACTTCACATTGCTCGACCAACCTCAGCCAAGTCACACACACCAAGTTTGCTTCTCAAGAGCTGAAATGATTCCAGCTTTAGAGCCTTAGTCATGATATCTGCAACTTGTTCCTCAGATCGACAGTATTCCAGCTCAACTACCCCTTCCTTCACTAGTTCCCTGATGAAATGGAACCTGACATCGATATGTTTACTTCGACCATGCAGCACTGGATTTCTAGACAACTTAATGGCCGAGCTGTTGTCACAAAGTATGGTTGTCTTCTCTGCTACACTGCTGCTCCAACCTACACTTTCCAGAATCCTTCTCAACCAGACACAGTGTGCTACACAGTAGGCAGCGGCTATGAACTCTGCTTCAGTGGTGGAAAGAGTAACTATAGGTTGCTTCTTTGATGCCCAAGAGACAGCCCCACCTGCAAGAAAGAAGACATACCCACTAGTACTTCTCCTGTCATCTACATCTCCAGCATAATCACTATCAGTGTAACCCAACAACTGATCCTCCCCATCTCCCTTCCTGTACCAAATTCCAGAATCTGCTGAACCCTTTAGATACCTTAGCACTCTCTTAGCAGCAAGCAAATGCTGTCGAGTAGGAGACTCCATGAATCTGCTAAGTAAACAGACTGTGTACATTACCTCAGGCCTGGTGGCAGTCACATACAGCAAACTACCAATTAGTTGCTTGTATTCTGTTGGATTTACTAGAACCCCATCACCTGCCTTAGATAATTTGACTCCAGATGCCAATGGATTGTTAACAAAATTACAGTCAGAGAGCTTAAACTTCTGCAGCAATTCCCTGATGTATTTCTGTTGGCAAATGAAAATACCAGAATCAGTTTGAGTTACCTCTATTCCCAGAAAGTACCTCATTCTGCCAAGATCTGTCATTTCAAATTCAGCTTCCATGGATCTTCTGAATTCCTCAATCAAGGCTTGACTGTTGCTGGTATACAGAACATCATCTACATAAAGGCTGACAATGAGAATGTCAGTTCCAGATTTCTTGATGAACAAAGTATGTTCATATGGACACCTCTCAAAGCCAGTCTTGATGAAATATGCCTCAATTCTGGCATACCAAGCTCTGGGAGCCTGTTTCAGACCATAGAGGGCCTTCTGCAATTTGTATACCTTGTGTTCCTCCCCAGCAACCTCAAAGCCTTGAGGTTGCTCCAGGTATACATCTTCAGTGAGCTCTCCATGAAGAAAAGCACTCTTCACATCTAATTGATAGACCACCAGACCATAATGAGCTGCTAAGGCTAGGATAGTTCTGATTGTATCCCACCTTGCAACTGGGGCAAACACCTCATTGTAATCAACCCCTTGTCTTTGAGCAAATCCCTTTGCAACCAGCCTGGCCTTCTTCTTATCCAGTTCACCATCTTCCTTCAGTTTGGTCTTATAGACCCACTTACAACCAATTGGAATGACTCCTGCAGGAAGTTCCACCAGTTTCCAGGTCTGGTTTCTCTCAATGCTATCAAACTCCAGATTCATAGCTGCTCTCCATACAGGATCCTTGACAGCTTCTTCAAAGGTTTGAGGATCATCAGCCAGTGCCACCATAACCACCCAGTCTGTATCTGTAAAGCCACAGTCATAAATAGACAGGTGAGCTGGAGGCTTCCTCACCCTGGGAGGAAGTCCCAATACATCAGTGTGAGAACCACCATCTTCATCTTCAGGATCACTATCCAATGTATCAGCTGCTGCTGGTGTTGTAGGACTTGGTGGTGAATCTGAAGAAGATGATGGATTGCTGTCAGGTTCTGGAGAGACTTCTGTATCTGTATCAGAATCATCCCACTCATCATCTCTTCCATCCCAAATCAGCTGCTGAGATGTGGTTGATTCATCTAACACTTCTGTCCAGCCATGACTCTCATCAAAAACCACATCCCTGCTTACTACTATCTTCTTGGTTGTAGGGTTGTAGAGCCTGTAAGCCTTTGACTCACTGGAAATGCCAAGAAAATGACATGTGGAACTCTTATCATCAAGCTTCCTCCTCCTCTGATCTGGTATATGCACATAGGCTATGCAGCCAAAGATTCGAAAATGTGACACTGATGGAGGACTTCCTGTCCACAATTCCTGTGCAGTCTTGCCTTGATTTGCACTTGTAGGACTTCGATTAAGAACATGTGTGGCCCAGGTCACTGCCTCAGCCCAGAAAACAACAGGAACACTCATATCTCGAAGCATACAACGCACCATATTCATCACTGTGCGATTCTTCCTCTCAGCTACACCATTCTGCTGAGGAGTTAAAGCAGCAGTTAACTGTCTTCTAATCCCAGCTTCATCACAAAGATCCTTAAATTCTGTCAGCATGAACTCCCCACCTCGATCAGTCCTAAGACTTGTAATAGCCTGACCAGTTTCTTTCTCAATCTGAGCTTTGAATTTCTTAAACCAGGTCAATGTCTCAGACTTAGCTGACAGAAAGTAAACCCATAACTTGCGGCTGAAGTCATCAGTTATGGTAAAGATGTACCTCTTCCCACTGTTTGATTCTGGTGTGAGGGGACCACAAAGGTCAGCATGGATGAGTTGCAGCTTCTGAGAGGCTCTCCACTGGCTTTTCTTGGGAAATGGCTGTCTATGTTGTTTCCCCACCAGACAAGTTGAACAGACACCACCAGAATTCCCTTTCAGTTGAGGTAAGCCCTGAACCAGACCCTTTTTGTGTAGTTGATGCAGGCTTTGAACATTGATATGTCCAAACCTTCGATGCCAAAGCTCCAGATTGAGATCTGCAGCATCTCTTCCAGTTTGCAGGCACTGAACATTTTGACTTTCCTGTGCTGGTTTGGTTACAGTGGAATGTAACACAAACATTCGATTGGACTTCATTTCTGTCTGCAAGATCAGTCCCTTGTTCTCATGGAATATTTTGCAGCTGCCATCTTTAATCAAGAAGGAAAGACCCCTTTCCTGCCATTGACCAACACTTAACAGATTGGTCTTCAACCCAGGTACATAGAACACTTCCTGCACAGCCAAAGATAGCTGATTCACAGCCAGCTTTACAGTTCCTCTACCAGCAACTGTGAGTTTAGAGTTGTTGCCAAGTCTGACATTGCAGGTAAAGGCAGTATCCAAATCAGTGAACCATTTCTTCTCTCCAGTCATATGATTAGAACACCCTGAGTCAAGAAACCACCAATCTGAGTTCTTCTCCACAGAGGTATCTTCCATAAATGCCATAAAGCATTCATGCTCCTGCTGGTTTGACTCATCAAAATAATCAACTTGAGCCATCAGTAACATGTCATCCTTCATGTCTCCATAGGATTGATTATCCTGCACATAACTGGAACTTGAGTAGTGAACCTGCTGATTAGTGTACCAATCAGGACATTCATTCCTGTAATGGCCCAGTTTGTGACATTTATAGCACTCCACTGATTCCTTATTCCAGTTCCTTCCTCGACCTCTTCCTCTGCCAGAATAAAACCCTCTGCCCTGGCCTCTTCCTCCCCTACCACCAAAGTCATGGGTAGTTCTAAGAACCTGGTCTTCTTCTGTCAACTGTCTTTTGGAGAACTTCTGCTCATGAACAATCAAAGAACTCTGTAGAGCATCAACAGATAACTCAGCAGTGTCCTTAGATTCCTCAATAGAGCACACCACATAGTTGAACTTCTCAGTGAGAGTTCTAAGGATCTTTTCAACAATCTGAACATCAGGCATCTCATCACCACAGTTGCGCATTGCATTGGCTATGGTCATAACCCTACCAAAATAGTTATTCACTGACTCACCCTCCTTCATCTCAATTATTTCAAAGTTCCTTCTAAGAGCTTGCAAGTTAGACTTCTGAACTCTAGCATTGCCTTGAAACTTAACTTTCATTGATTCCCACAAGTCTTTGGCAGTACCTTTCTTTGAGATGGTCTTGAGGATGGTTTTGTCGATGCTGCCAAAGAGGTAGTTTTTGGCCTTTAAATCCTTCAGCTTCAGATCATTGAGGGCTTTGGCTTCAACTTCAGACAGGTTCTCAGTTGGTCTTTCTTGATAACCTTGCTCCACCACAGACCAGTATTCCTTGGAGCGAAGAAGATTCTCCATTAGAAGGCTCCAGTGCTCATAGTCTCCATCAAACCGTGGTAGACCAACCTGAGCCAAGCCTCCTGATTCACTCATATTCACACTCTCTCACAAGATTTGCTTGATAGCCAATCTTTGCACTCACCTTGAAATCAACAGCAACTCACGTTCACTCGTGTTTCCCAACCCAGTTCTGCAATTGACAGCAGAATCTCTTAACAAATCACTCAATCTTAGTCTGCAATTGACAGCAGAATCTCTCAACAAATCACTCAACTACAGCTTGAAAGCTTTGGTTACAGCTTGCTTGAGCTCTGATACCACAATGAAGGCTCAAATACGTTTGCAATCTGACAAACTTTATTAGAATGAACAAGAGGGGTTTTTGTACGTTTGTTTCAGCCACATAATCCGGCTTC